ACGCCTGATTACCAGTTCAGTGTTGAGGAATTATCCAAAGACATACGGGCGATGACCATCGATCTTCCCGAAGAGCACAAGGAGTGCAATCCCTTGCCAGCGCTGAGGGATGAGATGCAACAGCTGCTGGACTGTGCATATGCACCCGTCACGGATGCGCACATGCAATACCTGGAGAACCAGGCGAAGAAGACCGGCATCTAAGCCATGACGTGCGATGTCTGTACGATCTATTTGGTGGTCTGGGATTGGAGTGACGATGGCAGTGAAGTCGATGTGGGACGCTGACAGAACTGAGATCGCTGAGTTCCAATCTTATGGACACACAGCCGAATAACTAATGTATATCCGAGACCAAACACAGATTAATCATTCCGACCAGCCCGATTTCAAATCTTGACTGGTTGTCGATACCGATGACATTGAGGCGACTTTGGTTTGCCCTTCAGCGGTGATATTTCAATCGAAGAAATGAAAGGTGTTGTGGCTGACGAGACAAAAGAACTCCGATATTCATCCATTGCTTTCTAATGCTGTTCTTGAACACTGTATGATAGACCCTTGGCATACCATTTTACCTCTTTACGGGATCAACTATGCTAGCTCAGAGTTGCGTTTACGGCGTCATTGCTCGTGATGTTGTATGTGAGGCCTTCATGATGCATGCCCTGACCCACCTCTCCCGCGATCGCCCGTTTGTTGGCGAAGTTCATGCTTTATTACTGTTTTCAAACCTGCATTGGAAAACGCGCATCGACCAGAAGAGCCTTTGAAGTCTAGGAATTATCGAAGGATTCCAAATGCCACCTTTCTGTAGAATTGCTGAACCTCAACAACGCAGGAATTTCTGATTCTCCTGGCTTACTTACGATGGTCTTCCCGGCTGCCGATTCCATACCGAGCACGATTCGGCGACCCGCCCACGTCAAACACTTCACGGACCACCACAGATTTTGAATCAAAGTGCCTCCCTCACCTCGCCTTCCCCGCTTCCCTCATATCGAACCTCGATCTCAACCTACAACATTTCAGAGAAGCAGCAAACATGTCGAGAGAAGAAACGACGTCTGATGATGACGGCAAGAGTGCAGACATGGCCAAGGAAGACAAGCCCGAGCCCGTGCCCTTCTGGGAGTGCCTTAAGCCCGCCACCTCGACGATTGAGTGCGGAAAGGCGTTCAACTTCGACCCGATTGGCGATCTGACCCTTAGTGTCGGCGAGGATGGGGTCGCCTACGAGTTCGTCGTCTGCTCCCGAACACTCTCTCGATGGTCACCAGTGTTCCGCACCATGCTCTTCGGTGGCTTCGCAGAGTCAAGGCCTGCTGAAGCTGCGTGGAGCGTCAGCCTACCCGAGGACCTTCCCTCAGCCATGTTCCTTGTCTTGAGCATTATCCACGGCTGCTTCGAGGATGTGCCAACATCACTGAGTCAATTCGAACTGTACCAGACGCTAGCCGTGACGGAGAAATACGACATGACAAAGATAGTGCGGCCGTGGGCGGCGCTGTGGTTTAAGCCATACAAGAAGATTTCTTCAATCAAGGGCAACGAGATACTTCTCTGGGTTTCCTGGGAACTCGGATATGCAGAGAACTTCCGCTCGCTTGCAAAGGATCTTCTTCTCAGCTCCTCGGTCAACGACGAGGGACAGCTAGTTGGCCACGATGGGGTCGCCCTTAGCACATACAGCTGTTTAGAGCCACCCGGAATCCTCGGTACGTCTCTTCCCAATTCTTTGAATTATTTCTCCCTGACTTTCATTCAGAGACAGTCACAAAGCACAGGCAAGAGCTTGTCAGCCAAATGATCAAAGCCATTTATAGTATGACTGATGTGGCGCTCAATCAGCCAAAATGCCGGGGTTTGGCTCAGTACCGTGAATGCCCAGAATGCAAAACAAGGTACAACATCACCAAAAATTTCCGCTCAACATGTACTAGCTGCAAGAAGTCAGGTGCCACCGAAGGATGGGTGGCTCTGGATAATCTATCGTTGACTTTGCCAGCATACATGTGCAACACTCTAGTATTCGGCTCTCTTGTCAAGCAAGTTAAGAAAGTGATGGGGCAAGAAGTGGCGTTGATGAAGACGCCAGCACCTCACATTAAGCTAAGCATCAACGCTTTGCTACAGTCGATCAACGCTATGAGAATCAGCCTGCCTGGGGAGCATCTGAGTTGCAATCCACTACCAGCCACACAGGCCAGAGTCCAAAACTTAGTAAAAAAAGCCAATTCTCCGGTTACAGAAATGCACTTGGAGTACCTGAGGAACCAAGCGGTGAAAACCGGCGTCTGAGGACTAACGGCCGACAACATGGATGGAGTTGGAGAGCATGGGCTTGACAAGGTTAGCAAGGACGATATGGGACATTCGGCTGGATGAAGCTGTGCATGTCGTGGAGACTTGATGTATATTGATGGTTCAGTATTGTGAAGTCCTTCCGTATTTCGAACCATTTGAAAGAGCATTCATTCCCTGATGGTGGTGCTGTTGCCATTCTCACGTGGCTAAGCAGACCAGTCGGAAGTAAAATGGGAACCGAAAAGAAAAGGCTTGCAAGGTATTACATTCTAATCCACTTCATATTGCCAGCTAGTCTTATTGCTTTTTTGCCCTTGTCATAATCACTACGCAAACAAAAGGTCTATTCCGGCATGTGGTACATACCCACTGAATCTCTATCAATGCATGCTGGCTCAGACTTGCCTTTACGACGTCATTGCCGGTAGCCTTATTTATAGAGCCTAGGCGCATGCCTTCCTGCGAAGGGTTACTGCGATGCAGAAACGCACAGCGCTGGACGCATGGCTTCGGCGACCACCAGCTCGGAAGTATCTGTGGATCATCACAGCCAGCTTTCGGATGCACTTGCAACCCAAGTAGAACATTAAGGGGCGATGAGCGTGGTGCCCTTGGTCTTTCCGCTTTCCATCTTGGCGGTTCTTGAACCGAATTGGATCTGGCGAATGGTAAGCCGTCTGCTTGACTCCATCAACTCTCCATCAGGGAGGGACTTGCAGCTCTCTTCTTCTCCCGAGCAACGGAAGCCATGCCGAGTGCCTCCGCCAGGAGCCTCAGAACCCTCTTCCCAGGCTCGATCTCTCCCTCCACCTCGCCGCGGCCGTAGTCACACTTTTCCCACACCGGACACTCGATCGCCCACTTGACGAAGTCCTCATCCAGGTATGGGAACCGCACTTCGCGGCTCCAGTGAGCCATGGCCCTGTCGTCGCGACCCAGGTTGCGTTTGCCGAGGCGGCCGACATCGAGCTTGAGCTCATCCAGCAGGCCCGGGTAGCCTCTCCTCGAGAATGCCGTGGCATGTCGGACGTAGCCGCCGAAGAGCTCATCTGCTCCAAGGCCGGAGAGGAGTACTCTCGCTGGCGTAGCGTAGTCGACCGCGGTGTCGGAGGGGTGACTTTGGGCCTTGCCGATGCCCCGAGCGGCGAAGTAAAGTGCGTAGGCAATGGAAAGATCCATCTCGGTGTTGTGGGGGTACATGAGGGAGATCACTTGGCTCCGATGAGCGAGGACTTCTTGGTATGGCACGTCGACCTGCTCCGGGTTAGTGATTGAAAGCCCGAGGTAACGTGGAGGGGACTCACGGCAATGAATCTCCACCGGCGCTCCGGACAGACTGCAGCCAGCTCGGCAAAGGACTTTCTGCCTGTAATTCTGTCGGGACACGCCTCGTAGAGGTTGACGCCAGCGGCAGAGTTCTCCGCCTTCGACGCGAGTCGGGGGTTCTCAAAGGCAACGTTGATGAGGTCGATGCCTTGCTCTGGCGGCAGCAGGTCACTTGCCATGCGCGCCAGGACTGTGCAGTCCAGACCACCCGAGAAGAGTACAGAGATTCGCGTGTCGTTTCCTGCATCATAGGCTGGCGGCTCTGGTACGTTCAAGACACGCAGCTTGAGCGATTCAGTCAACTGATCTCGCAGCGCCTGGACCGATGAAGAGATCGCAGTGAGCGGCGGGACGTCTGATGGCGGCATTGTAGAGTTGAAGACGCCGATGTTGAGGACCTATCATCGTAAGTAGCAAAACGAGACACACCACATGGCGACCCATGACTCACCGTACCCTCCTCCTCATTAGACCAAGGCCGAGGTGTTAAGGGAATATTCGGATCGATGTCAAATGACGCAAGGTCAACCACGTAGATGCCGTCCGCCTCGACCTCTGACCAATCCAGCGACGTGCTCTCCGCGATGCTAGACAGCCTCAGTCCATCCTTCCGATTGAGTAGCAAAGACCGTCTTCCCAAACGGTCGCGACCAAAGTAGAGCCGAGATGACGACGCGTCGTAATAGACGAACGCGAATGGCCCTTCTATCGTGCGGAGCGCGTCCAGCACTGCATCTTCGCCCGCGGCACGGCTACTGGCCGCTACCAGCAGGGCGAAGACGGCCTCGCCATCGTTGCCTTCAATGGGCCTGCCCCCAATCTTCCAGGCCTCGCCGTTCCAGCAGAGCACCGAGCCCGACGACGCGTCGCGAAATGGTTGCTTGGTGACATGGTCACCGCGCAAAGCCAGCACCGTTGATGTGAAGGTCAAATGCAGGGGTTGCGCGTCGGCGCCAGAGGGTACTGCTTGGGTGCGAACTTCACCAAGATGGTCCGGACCGCGATTGCAGAGACAGGTGCGAGTTTCTGTGGGAAGCGTTTGAGCGTCATCACGCGAGATGACGAAATGAATACCGCACATGTTAGATCGCGTCTGGAAGAACCTTCCACGGTATGTCCCAGCGCAGCATTCGATTGTGCACAAATTATTGCACCACAGAAGCGAAAAGTGCAGGGCATGCGCCACACTCACACTGCAGTGTCTGTCCCCACTCCAGTGCATGGACCACACAGCATTCACCAGCCACCCGGCAGCCACGCCTTGACGATGCCGGTCGCGGCTGGCTGAGTGCCATCGTGAGCATCACAAAAACACAGCAAACAATTCTACAAAAAAGTTTACTATATTGCAGATCGGAAAAAAGTACTTCCGAGACGGGGAATTGAACCCCGAGCCTGACGGTTATCGCTTGAGAGCGTCAAATGTTGACCATTACACCATCTCGGATGGTTGCTGGTTAAGGTGTAAGACTAGCTCATCAAGGATGCATGCTGTCGATCAGCGGAGCGAATACCGTGAGGGCTCGTCTGATTCAGCGGGGGTGGCCCGTCTACGCCAAACCACCTTGTTGGAAAAGCTACAAGGCGCTTGATCAACCTTTCACGTCGAGGATTTTGAGGTCTGGAGAACCGTTAGCCCTTGATAAATGAGGCCATGGGTGGCAAGGAACTCGGCGTTTGCTGCGGCTAGTTTCCCGAGTATGTGAGGGCTGCCTCACCCGACTAATAGTCAAACAACCGGAGGTACGATATCTCTTTGCGCCGTGCAAACGCCAGTGATGTGTGCTTTGTGGACCGAGCCGTTGAATCGAAGTCAGTGCACCGATTTTCCCTCTGGTATTCCTCGTATCATCCGTCATCGGCTTACGCCTTGTGTTGCCCCGGGTGGCGCAGCGGATGACGGGAGCGAGCGGGGCGCGATGATGAACCGCATCGACAGAGCGGGCAGATGACCAGTCTCTTCCGGGGAGATCTGGGGAAGACCCATCAGTCGTATTATGCAATTGGAACACGAGCCGCGAAGACCCGAACTTGGCGATCATGGTCAGCCCAGCGTTGGCCGACAACATCACGCCACTCCCCAGACCACTCCCATCAGGCGACAGTGCCATCATCATCGGGCGAGCGCAACGGCTCTGCCATTGACATAAAATGGCCACTTTTTCCCCAGAATCGAAATCGACGCTAAGACAGCACCATCGACAATGGCTTCAAGAAAGACATGCCAACAGCTATGGCGCATTCAGCCCACCACAAGCGCACTCATAAACCGAAGCATCACAAAGCCCGCGGCAATCGGCAGACTTCTGCCGGCGGCGACAGCAGCACTCCTCCCGAAAGCCCGACTTACAACTCAATGCCGGCAATCAAATTTCTCCTCATTTCAACGTCAAACTCGCCCATACTCAAGCCATTCTCATGAGAAGACGGAGCATCCGATCCCGAAATGGACGCCGCCGAAGGACCCCACCTCTCGGCCCGTGGTGGTTCTCGGTGCGGGGGTCCTTGGTCGCCGACTCGCGGTGATGTGGGCCTCGACTGGTCGACCCGTCATTTTGCAGGACATCAACGAGAAGGCACTCTCGTCTGCTGTCGTCTATGTCGGTGACGCCCTGACGACTGTTTGCGCAGTCCGTGAGTCACATCCCGGCCGCGTCACGACAAGCACTGTCCTCGAGGAGTCTTGCGGCGCCAACCCGTGGATGGTCATCGAAGCGCTGCCTGAAGACCCCGAGATCAAGCGCGAGATGCTTGGAAAGGTCGACTCGCTCGTGCCAGAAGACTGCATCATCGCCTCCAACAGCTCAACGTGGCCGACATCTGCCTTGAGGACGCTTATTTCTCGCCCTGAACGCCTGCTCAACACTCATTACCATCTTCCGCCACGCAACACCTACGTGGAGCTGATGACGTGCGGAGCCACCGACAAGGACCTCATGCCCTTCTTGAAAGAGCAGATGCGGAGCGTAGGATTCAACCCGCTTGCGTTGCCCCATGAGTCCGTCGGCTTTGTCTTCAATCGCATCTGGTCTGCGGTCAAGTCAGACACCCTGCGAGTCTTACAGGCAGAGCTGGCTTCGCCCCGAGACATTGACGCGCTATTCCGAGACTTCTTCCACGCCGAGAAGGGACCTTGCGAGAAGATGGACGAGGTTGGTCTAGACACGGTCTGGCAGGTGGAGCGGAACAGGGTGAACATGGGCGTCGTGGATCCGAAGAAGGCGGGGTACACGGACTGGCTGGAGGAGAACTACATCTCAAGAGGAAGACTGGGAGAGAAGACCGGAGACGGACTCTACTCTGCGGAAGAAAGAAGGTTGTTGGCCCAAAAGAGAGCATTGGCAAAGAAGTCTTATTTGAAGTTGCGCTAACGAGTTCATTCATGTCTTTCTAGGTTGCTTTGGAAGGAGTTGGAATCCATGAAGGAGGGTGACAATGGCGCTTAGGCAGTCGGTATCATAATGCAAGCTTCCTTTTATCTAAACTATCCCATTATTCTATGGTCTTGAGATATGACTATCGTCCACGTTGTTAGGCTACCATGTTTGAGGGCACTTGTATTCCTATGAGCGGCTTGTGATTTAGGGGAGCATGATCTAGATGATTCAGCATGTTGCCTTCCTCAGAAGGGGATGTCATAAGCGCAGCTTCTGCCCGCGAAGACCTCTTGAAGAAGTTCTCCTTCTGATGTGATCAGAACTTGTGTGTCATCGGCGAATCAACCTTACATTGTCAACACGAGATGGCCGACAGAAAGAAGAGGTGCACAGGATCTCCTCGGACGGATGCAATCGCCGAGTTCTTATCTGCACAGGAAGCCACCGCAGCCCTCCAATCCGAATGCCTTTGGCTGCTTCTTACTTATGAATCGATCCGCCTTAGAGATGAAGGTTTGCAAGTTGACGGAACGCAACCGCAAGCGCCAGACACCCTCGACGACCAGGGCATCCTCACTACAACATCATCTGCTGCAGATGATGAGGCAGATAGCCACACCATGCATGACGATGCCGCCTTCGTTTCGCCCCCCTCTGCGGCTTTGGCGTTCAAGGGTGCCAGCTGGGACTGTCTTGGAGATGCAATAAAGTCCCTTTCTTGTGGCAAGGCCTTCTACTTCGACTCCCGTGGCGACTTGGTTCTGAAGGTGGGCGAAGCCTTTCACGAAGGCGGACGCGAATTCGTTGTCTGTTCGAGGACTGTTGCGCGATGGTCCAAGGTCTTAAACGCCATGTTCTTCGGCCGTTTCGCCGAGTCTACCCCTTCAGCTCGCGACGGTACGTGGACAGTTGCACTGCCTGAGGACAGGGCGGCTCCCGTCTTTCTCATCCTGGCGATCATTCATGGCACTCACCAGCCCATACCTATGGCTTTGGGACGCGATGAGCTTTTTGACCTCTTGATAGTGACGGAGAAGTACGACATGACACATGTTCTTCGACCGTGGGCTTCTCAGTGGGTTCAGAATTTGCCCCTCGATAACTCTGAGAATACCACGGGCCAATACCGCGACGTGTGGATTGCCTGGGAGCTAGGTTGCGAAGCTAGCTTTTGCAAGATGCTCAAGGACATCTTGTGGGACTGTCGTATGGACGATGCTGGTCAGCTCATAAACGTCTACGGTGTGCCCCTGAGCACAATTCCATGCCTGGAGCCTTCCAGCATTCTTGGTATGAACCCCATCGGGCAACGTTCCTGTACGCCGAACTATACCATCACCATCCCTTTTTGATTCACAGACTGATCAGGATTTGCAGAGAACATTTCCATCAAGCGAGCAGAACTCATAGAGAGGATGATCGACTGTCTCCGCCGAGCAATGAAGACCTCCCTTACAATGAGTCGCTGTGAGGAAGAACTTGCAGAGATACGCCATTGCAATTGCTCTGACGTTAGGTTCGAGAATCGATCCGCCTTCATAACAAAAGAGGACTGCGACGACCTATTTCTTGGCAGAACTATTCGCCGTATTCGAGAAATGGGATTGGAGAAGTTCGTTCTGCCGCGCGCCACCTTCTCTTCGTATCTTGGGAGTATTCATGATCTATCGGATTTGATCCTACTCGAAGAGGTTAACGGACACGTTGAGGGCCACGATAGTTGTGACCACTGGATTATTGTCCAAATAGAAGTTGAGGAGATGGTCGACAACTTGTCGTCCCCAGTCACGGAGACGCACCTTGAATACTTGCGAAACCAGGCCAAGAAGACAGGTGTTTAGATAGAGAAGACTGCGTTCAAGAAGGACGAGTTGATAGACAAGGTTTGCGGTTATTGAAAAGCGTGAATAAGAACGTCTTGGTTGTGTCTTTCTAGAAATATGCTCAGTTGGCTGCTTTCTCTTCAGGCAGGCAGGTCTTGTTTTGCTCCGCCAATGCGGATCACAGGGACGAGGACAACGGTGAAAATGTCTTGTTGATTTCTGTGGCTAGCGGAAGGTGTTATTCTGGGACTGGATAAGTAGAAACCTGCAAAGATTCATGGATGGCCCATTCATTGCTCTTAACAAGGACGGAGCTAGTTCGTAAAAGCAATGCTGGATAAGGTACACTATGTTCTCCATACTCAGGCGGCTTCAATTGACTTGCTGTCATGAGAAATACTAGTGGTCTTTATCATCTTCGCCGTAATTGTCGTTATTGTGGTCGTGGATACTCGTTTTCAAATGGCTCGGGAGGCTATTTGCATCAATACTCGACACCTACAACCCTAGCTGACCTATCATTAGTTGCACGATCATATCATTAAATTTGAAAAGAATGCACACAATATTCTGTGCTGATGAGTAAAGTAAAAATGTCACCGGCGAGGTGATGAGGGGAATCTCATTGTGGTCTGCCCAATGCATGTCGCAGCTGCTTTGCCTCCCAACTGGAACGATATGATAATGCATGCATGTTCCCCCATAAGACTTAGATCGATCATTGTTGTTCTACTCCACTGGTTGTCGCATCCCCGATTTCAAAGCTTGATCGTCGATGGTAGGCCTCCTGCATTAGCCTCGAACCCCGATACCTGTTGAAATGACTGATTGGCCATGAACCCAAGCCCTGCCATTCCTTAGCTGTCACCCAACAAAGGTGCCCAACATCGCGGCACACTATAAAGATGCACACAGCAGCCGTTGTATTACGTCCATTCGGTTCTACCACATGTTTCAAGCAACGCGTCTCTAGATCTCTACTTACTCGGTATCCTGCTGCCCTCACACAACTAAGTGCGACACCATGAGCCAAGTCCATGAAACATTGGGCAGCATCTTTGGTCCGCCATCAACATTTACGAGGGATGAGAGCAAGAAGCAATGGAGCCTGTAAGTATTACAGAAAGCTCATATACTGCGAAAACTGACAAAGTCGCTCTTCGACATACAGGTCACTGAACTTCAGCTATATCCAAGATCCAGCCATCTGGGAATGTATCAAACCGGCCATGGAATCACTCGCTGGC